CGCTCCCTAGGGTGCAGGAAGGGGAGGGGAGGACCCCACTGGCCTGGCCCAGAAGGCCTCAGTGGGGAGCGGTGGCTCAGGCAGGCAGGGCTGGGGTGGGCGGGCAGATTTACTGCGCTGTTCCTCTCCCCTGCAGCGCCTGCTTCTAATGAAATTTTACGGCAGGTGGAAATGATAGGCCCCGCCAGCCCTGAAAGCACTTCTATTTATTCATTAAGGATATTTATGTACTGAGCAGCTCCCACCGAGGGCCCCACCTGACTCTGCTGGGCCAGTGAGGGGCCTCCAGGCCTAGCGCTGGGGAAGCCGGGGCAGGCTGCTCCCTGCACGGAGACCTGTTAGTCCACCCTCAACACCTCCCAGTCCCCAGCCTGGCCCAAAGCCTCGGTACCTCCCCCGGGAACAGAGTGCTCTAGCCCTTCTTGGCCATCCCCCTGCCCTGCTTGGTCTCCACACTGTGTCTCCCACAAAGCAGTCAAAGGCATCCTTTCAAATCAAACCGCACCTCTTCCTGCTCAGAACTGCCACAGTCCTGGCTTTGTCTCCTACTGGCCCCTGCCTCACCCTTAGGTCCAGCTGCCATGGTCTCTTCTGGCTTTTTTCTAGAGAATGACGGTGATCTCTGTTTCTACCACAGGACCTTTGCACCTGAGCCTCTGCTTAGACCCCTCTGTTTCCAGCTCTTTGGCTGCCAGGCTCCTTGACACCACTGAGAGCTTAGCGCAGGTCAAAGGAAGCTTATGCCTCAGAAAGGACTTCCCAGACCACTGGCCCCAAAGCCAGTCCCCTGTTCTCGGTCACCGTGCACCTTGTTTGTTCCACGATGGCCCTTGGGAATCATCCCCCACATTTGTTTCCGTGTTTACTGCCTTGGTCTGTCCCACAGGTGTGACCTCCTGGGACAGGGGTGGTGCTGCTCACAACAGGTGTCCAGTGAAGGACGGAGGGATGGTGGTGGGTGATTCCTGGTGTACCCAGAGCGGCCACAGGGACCGGTCTCTGTGCGATTCCCCAGGTTGGCCCCTCAGAGACTCTGGCTTTCAGTTGGTGACTGAAGAAGTGACTCTGAGTGTGAGGGACATCTCACGGCTCCCAGAGGGTGGGCAGGGCTGAGCTGAGGGCCCGGGTCTCCTGTCCCTGTGTTCCTGGGGGGTTCTGGATGGGGCCCCTTGGGAGCCCCGGGAGCTGTGGCTGGAGTCTGTCCCCCATGGCTTCCCCCCAGCTGCTGCCGGGGCCCTGACAGCAAAGCTCCTTCTGGGGACCTAGGTGGACCCAGCTCACACAGCCCTCCTCCTGACTGGGGCCCAAGCTCCCTCTGGGACCTGGGCACTTCCTGGAAGACCCCGAGAGGGTGCCTCTTGACCCGCCATTGGGATCTGCCTCCTCTGGGGACTGAAAGGCCTGGGGGAAGTGGGACAAGGACTTGGCCTGTCGCTGGCTCGGTGAAGCTGGACACAGGTCACTCCCGCTCCTGCACAACCTGCCTGGTGGTGTCACAGCCCGAAGCTCATGTAAGCCCTGCCGTGCACACCTCGGGGGGCGCCCGGTGAGGAAGGGGAAGTGGACGCTCGGGTCTGGTTTCCTCATCTGTGAAACGGGGTCGTGGATGGAAGTGCTTCCCTGTCAGGGACGAGGGTGGGACCGGCTCTCAGGGACGTCCTTGGCTCAGGGGAAGAGCTCACCTGGCACACACCTGTAAACCCGTTCTTCCCAGACCCGAGTGACCTCTCGTGTGAGCGACGGGCGGTTCAGAAGGGCACACGGGAGGCACTGGCCTCTGTGCTGGGGAGGCGTGGGCGCGGGACGCGGGCACCCCCGCTGATGCAGAGAGGGCGACCCGGCAATCACATCACAGTGAAAAGGGTCCTTCTCCTTGACTTGGCCATTCAACTTGGGATCTAAGCTCACCCGGGTGTGAAACGACGCTCTCTACAAGAGGCTCCCGCAGCACCGTGAGAGCCAAGGACCAGACACCACTGAAATGTCCATCACACGATTAGTCCATTAGCAAGTTATAGGGGAGCTTCGCGACGCAGCTCGGCTACTGCAGGAGCTGGGTGGCCCGGAGTTCGGTACCCGGGGTGAGAAGCAAGGCGCCGTCCTTTGTGTTAAAGATACTTTTTATGCACTTGAAACACCCAAGGCCACCCCTTGGGGAAGGTGCGTTTAGCTCATCAGCCACGACAGCTTCTGGGGAGGGGCCGGGTGGCCAGGAGAGGCACTGGCAGGGAGGCTGGCTCGTGGCCGTCCTTCCATCCCCCCAGTCTAGAGCGAGGCCCCTGCGTGCTGCGTGATCCAGAGGTGACTGGAGGAAGGGGCGCCATTGTTCCCAGCACAGATGACGGAGGCCCCGCTGTGACGCCAGCACTTCCCGTGCGCACCCAGGAGCCAGGCCGACTGGAGGCCGTGGCCCTGCCTGTCCCTCTGCTGCTGGGGCGACTCCTCATCAAGGAGCCCTGCCTTCAGGAAAGCGAGTCTCATCTCCCTGTCGACACTAAGTGACACTCTCGCTGATGGCGGAGGATGCTGCAGGGGCCACTGAAGGAGGGCTCCCGGCTTCCCTGATAACACACCCCCAGGCCTGCAGGCAGACCCCCTTGGCTTAGACGCGGCCGTCTTCGGCTGCAGAGGTGGAGAGGGAGACCCCACTTCTTTCGTGAGGACACCGGGCTAACTCTGCTGCAAGGCTGCGCGGCTGCCGTGTTCAGTGGGAAAAGGAACACTGGCCCCCTGGGGTGCCCCGGACATGAGCGGTGGGCAGCAGAGTGGAGTTCAGCACCCTGAGGCCAGGACATCCACCCCCCGGAGCCCAGGGAATTTTCCAGAGGGCTGCTCTCGGGAGCCTTCAGCGCTCAGCTGGCCACGAGCAGATTCAGGGGCCGGGACCCAGCCCGGCGGCCAGGATGGGTTAGTCCCCAGCTGACCTGGTACTAAAGGTGCAGTGGCTGTTAACGAGCAGGGTGCTGCTGGCCTCTCCGCACCTGGGATGGGCTCCTCGGGGCCCCAGGGTCATGCCTGTGCGCCCCCTGCTCTCAGAACTCAGGGGACACTCCTCAACTGTAGGAGGGTGCCTTCAGACAAGGCTTTAGCAGAGGGACTTTGGGGCCACACAGGATCTAGGGAGGCTCCCCAGTGTACCCAGCAGGCAAGGCCAGGCACAGCTGAGGCGTGAGTGGCCTGGAGATGACGAAGCCCCCTCCCTGTGCTGGCTTCTGACAGGCTGAGGAAGCCGACGGCTGGAAAAGGGCTGCCTGGGACCCTGGGAGGACATCAGGTGGCAGGTGCTGCCTCCAGGGACGGGCAAGCCCCACGGGGTGGGAAGACTCCCCTCCACATGTCTCTTGCTAAGTTCCGAGCTTCTGTTCCACGGGCCAGAGTGACCTGCTTACAAACCAACAGTGTCGAGGAAAATACAGCCCAGGGGTGACCACCTCCGAGCACTGACCCCGGCTGCACAGCCCCATTCCACCGCTCCGTGTGGCCCCTTCTGTGCTGCGAATCCATCAACCTCATATTGACAGAGGGGCAGATCGAAGCGCAGTGTCAGCCAGCGATCCGTGACTGTCTTCTCGATAGAGGTGGCTCGGGAGGGAGCACAGGGACTCTGCAGTGGCAGACTTGCCTTGAACGTAGATTCTGCTGCTTATTGGCTGCAGGATCTTGGGCTGTCTGTTGGTCACCCTGTGAGATCCGTCCTGGCTTTCTGGAATGAGGGGTGACGGTGCCAGCAGGGACGTGGTACACTTAGTGAGGGGCACGGGGCAGGCATCCCGGTGGAACTCTCTGCCTCGGGAGTGGGCCGGGCCCTCTGCTCCGCCCACCTGCTGGCTGCCCCGGAGCCCAGGTGGGCAGGGCTGGCCCCGCTCTTCACCAGCAGCCGAAGCAGGGTGCACACTGGCTGGGATGGCAAGCGGACTTCACCTGTCCTGCTGACTGGCAGGTGGTGGCCCTCAGGCTTCAGCGCGTGATGGGAGCTGCCCCTTGGGCCTGGTACCAGGTGCAGCAGCCCCTGCAGCCATCCTGCTGCCTCCGAACACTCGAGGACTCCTCTCTTGAGGCCGGACTGGGCCACGCTGCAGCACTGCCGCCTTCTGCAGAGGAGGTGACCAGCTCTTGATCTGGGTCAGACGGGTGAGGCTCCGTTTCGGAAGCTACCTGTGTGGAGACCTGGCGGCCCGCGTCCAAGGCACCTGCTGTGCCTCTGTGGCTATGCTGTGGCTCAGCCAGGGCAGCCTCCCCGTGGCCCCGTCTGGGCACCATCCACCTGCTCTGATGCTCGGGACACTCAGTCGGAGCCACTCACCCAGTGATGCTGCTGGCAGGCAGTCAGGTGAGATTGTTCCAGGCCTCCCTCCCATGCTCAGGACCACCCGGGAGCTCAAACCACTAGCACCAGGCCACACGAGATCTGCTGCCACTGTTCAGGTGGGGACCCCTCATCTCCGTGGACGCTGACCCTGTGGACAGTACTGAACCTTGTGTGGTTTTTTCCAACACAGACACACAGGTGACAAGGTTCATTTATAGAGATCAACAACAGTGACTAGTGGTGAGAAAGAGCATTCAACCATACACCGTAATCCAGGCTACGTGATGTGACCCTGCTCTCAAAACGTCTAACTGTGCCACCCCCTCCTTGGAGTGACGTGGACGTCACCCGAGGGTGAGATGGGCAAGGTGAGTGATGCAGGTGCCAGGATGTAGCAGCAGGCTACTGCTGACCTGACAATGTCCCTGAAGCCACAGAAAGTGGATGGTGGGGGGACCACTGTGTGTCTGTTGTCCCCTGTGCCCTGTCCCTGAGTGACTCTGACACCAGGAGCTGTGCTGTGGCTGAAGTCCGAGGTAGGCCCAGTCCACGTCCTCCCCACTGCCTAGAGACAGAAGGCAGCTTCCGGCACGCACCAGGGCAACCGCGGTGGTGACGCCATCACTGCCCCGCTCTGCTCTGAGCGCGTAGGGAACGGGTCAGAGGGGAGCTTCGCTACAAAGAAGGCCAGTCCGGGGTTCCAAAACTAGCTTTAATTGTCCAGAGCACACAGAGCTGTGCAGAGACAGTTCCGGGGGAAGCGGCTGTCCACGTGCTGGCCGGGGCTCTAGAAGTTCTCCAGCAGGCCCACGATGCGCTTCTGCTCGCTCTCCCGGAACTCTGGGCTCCGGCCGTCCCCGATGTTCTCTGCGTACTCTAGGGAGACAAGGGCAGGGTTAGGCTGTACTATAGGCATGCGCTCGGGAGGCTAGGTGGCCCATGTCCCCAACACACGCCTAATGGCTGCTGCTGTGCTTGAACATGTCCCTTCCAACATTCACCCTGAAACTCAATCCCCAGCTAGGTGGTGACTGGGCTCCACCTTCAGGGACAAGAACAGACCCCAGGGAGCTCGCTAGGCCTCTGTCCTGCCTTTTGCAATGTGAGGACATGGCATCCTTGACCTTCTGGCCCTGACCAGACAGCAAAGGCCAGCACTGTGACCCTGGAGCATCCCAGCCTTCAGAACTGTAAGGAAGGAATTCTGTTCTTTATAAAACTATCTAGCCTCAGGTACTTTGTTATCATGGCACAAATGGGCAGAGGCAGGCCTGCTGGGCAAGCACGTCCTGGGCTAGCGGTCTCAGCATGTGGACCTGGCCAGCAGCAGCGGCATGTGGGAACCTTCTAGAAATGCAGATCCTGGGCCCACTCTAAACAGGAAACAGAGGGTAAGGCTGGCAACCTGCATTTACCAAGTCCTCCAGGTGACACTGACGTACCCTATGAGAACCACTATCTGTGGCAGTGGGAACACAATAATGACCAATATGGACGGAAATCTCTGCTTATACACAGCCTACTTTCTAGAGAGGTTAATAACCCAAAACGTAAATAATACACCCAAGATGGCTGCCAGAGGCTCCTGGGGAAGGAGAGGCTGAAGACTCGAGGGAGACCAGGGTGGGAAGGCTGGGAGGGGGGCTCCGAGGGGGGCCTGCCTGATCCATCCGAGGGCTGGCCGGTCTGTGTATCCAGAGCCCGGGGCCAGGGCCGGGGGAGCCAGGCTGAGAGCACCCTGGATCTTCCCCGAGAGGGGCGTCTGGCCGGGTTCTGAGAGTGCCTTTTCCTGGTTCCTCTGGCCGCTGTGTGGGAGGCGCCCTGAGGGCGGAGGGGTGGAGCAGGGGGTGACTGGGTGCCCTGGGACCAAGCAGGCCGTGGTGGAGGGGAGACGTGCAGACAGACTGATGCCTTCAGAAGGAGGACCCAACAGGATCCGCGAGAGGGTGGAAGTGGGTGTGAGAGGAGGGGCGAATCGAAATCACCCAGACAGGTGACAAAGTAGTGGGAAGGTGACAACGAGTGGGGTCCCCAAGGATGGAGAGGGCAGGTCTCTGCACCAACCGGGAGAGCTGTGGGGGCTGGGCCACCCCCAAGAGATTCAAGCAGCCGGGTGCTGCGGGGGGGGGGGGGCTACGGGCCACGGGGAGGCGGGAGCAGAGCTCCCTGAGGGTGGGGGAGCTGGGCTCCAGGGAGCAGGAGGACCAGGCTGTGGGGAGGAGGCCCCAGGGGAAGACCTCAGGGCACTGTGGAGAGTGACCAGGTCCTGGCTTGCCCTGTCATCCCAGCTTGGGGTCGGCAAGACGCCATTTCATTCACAACCTCGACCTCCCAGTCCGTGGTGGCCTGGGCTTCCCGCTGTGACTCTCACGACCAGGTATCAAGAACAGAGGGAGGGAAGGGGACGAGGTGCTCCAACTCCTCACTGCCCTCTGAGGTCCCCGACCCACACTCACAGGAAGCGGGGCAAGGCCTGGGCAGAGCTGGCACCGGTCTGCTCTCAACCCTGGGCCACCCTGAAAACAAGCCCAAGCTCCCGGCAGACATGGCGCTCCAGGAACACTCGTTTCCCGAGCCTCCTCTGCCCAGCCTGGTGACATCACGGGGGACATCCACACACCCTGCAAGGCCACCCCGACAGACGTCCCCCCCTCTGTGTTCAGGCTGCTCAGGCTCTGCACACGCGGGCCGGCCTCTGAGGCCACACGGAAGCCCCATGAAGTCAAGGTGACTAACGTGGACAGGGGCGTGGTGGCCAAGTGCACACCAGTTGGCTAGGACAGGGAACTCTTGGATCTGAGGCTGCAGCATGATCACACGTCCGCTAATCCAGACACGGAGGGAGGAGTGTGACCCCGCCACCCTCTACGCTCGGGACACGGTCACTCCGGCCACCTCTTCATTGCCCCCCTTCCTCTGTAGCGCTTTGGACGTGTGCTGGAAAACGGGATTTGGGGTTCCCACATGTGCCTGCTGTGACTCCCCCACAGAAACCCTCCTGTTAGGCCCACCCATCACCTCCAACGGCAAATGACCAAGGCCTCCTGTCTCAGCCCCTGGAGGAGAGGGCTGGGGTGACGGGCAGCAGCCGGGGAGCCTCGGGAGAAGCTCTGAGGCCACGTGGAAGTTACTCACACATAAGTGATGCTGCCGCTGCCCCAGGAGAGAGAGAAATGGCCATCAGAGCATTTAATGCCCCCCGAGGCACGGTCGGGAAGCAGGAGTCTTAATGGATTGAACTAACACTTGGCTCTCTAATGTCTTCTTGGGTCCAGGAGGGAGGGACGCGGAGGGAGGGCTGGGCCTTTGGGACAGCAGTTTTCCAGGAGTAAAGCCAGCTTCCCCTCCAGGGCCCAGGAACAACGCAGGCCGCCCTGCTCACAGAGAACCACCTTCTGGGTCACTCAGGCCATGGGAAGAGGGCAAGGCCAGACGGCCAGTCCTCTGGGAGGGGTCGCTTTCACACAGGTGGGGACAGATCTGTGGAGGGGGCACCTCACACCCTGGGCTGGCCCTAGCACTGACTGCAGGGGCGAGGCGTCACTCGGCTCAGAGGAAACCGAGGCCATCGGAGCAGCAGCCTGCCCTCGCCTAGGCTGGCAGAGGAGCCGGGCGCAGTGGAGAAACACGCCCCAAAGCTCCTCTGGTGGTGCAGGTCCCCAGATGGCACCCTCTGCCCTAAGCATTACCCCGCCTGCCTGCTCCCAGCCCCCGGAGAAGTGCCCCTGAGCACTCCAGAGCTACACCTGCCCCTTGTCCCCCTGGAGGGGCTGCGAGGTAGTGAAGGGGACTCAGGACAGATGTGGGGTGGGGGCTGCAGGGCTCTTAGAAGCTGACCACTGCCCTGAGGATCCCTGAGGAGACAGACGGCAAGTCTGAGCAGCCGCCTCCGCCCGCCCCGGCTCTGCTCCCGAGGAGCCCTGCTGGGCCCGTCCTGGTAGAGCCGCTGCCTCCTGGTTACAGGGCTGCGCAGGGTTTATGAATATTGAACAGACTCTTCCCAGGGGTCTCAGGAAGAGCTCTCATTTGTGTGTGTGTGAGTGTGTGTGTGTAGGGAGAGATGGCGGATGAAGAGAGAGCCAAGGTGGTGGGGAGAGAGGGACGAAGGCAGAGGGGGCGGGATGGACCAGGTGGGTGCTGCCCGCCCAGCCCTCTCCAGGGCTCTCAGGAGCCTGGTTCAGAGCCGGGCCCCAGGCCTGACTGCTCCCCCTCACAGCGCAGGGGGAAGGGTGCGGAAGAGAGGAGGAGAGCCAGTATTTTCACACCAAATACCCATGAAGACAAACAAGTAATCACAAAACAGGAAGTGGAAAGAAGACCCTTGAGTCTAACAGAGGCCTGGATGACAATGACAAGCTTGGAAGGTTGAAAGGCTGCGCCTCCCTAGGAGAGAGAGCACTCTGCGGGCTGTGGGAGGTCCTTCTTGGCTCACAGTGCTCACAGGGTCACATCCCCAGAATCCTGAGGACATGTTAGCTGTCTGTAAGCACCCACTGACAGCCACCCCCCATGAAGCCCCCGGGTCTGGCCTGCATGGTGGCCCACGGCTCTCCCGCCAGCTCTGGCGGAGGCAGGCAGGACTGTGTTTGCTGAGCAGGTCCTGGGTCCCCGGCACCCAGCCTCAGGGCCTTCCTGAGAGAGGGAGCATCTAGGTTTGCTTTCTTACAGAGAAGGAAGCCAAGACTCAGACGTGTCATCTGCTACTTGCCTGAAGTTACACAGAGATGGAGATGAGGCTGGGCTGTGCGTCCCTGTTGTGCTCACTGCCACCAGGTGAGTGGGGACACCTACTCAACAGTGACATGGCTGGCATTCTCCCAGCTCCCGGGTGCCGGCCCACGTGCTAGCATCTGACACTCGGGTGCTCCCCTGGTTCTCCCCGGGACTCCTGCAGATGAACAAACTGCAGCTGGAAGAGGGCAGGTGGCTGCCCAGGACCAGCCAGCCAGGAAGCAGGGGCTTGGGGAGCCAGGCAGACCCTACAGCCCTGCCAGGCTGGCTCTTGGGGGTTCCTCCCCTCCCTCCTCCACACCACACCTCCATGTCCAAGGCAGTGCATCTGGGAGCCCTCTGGGGTGGACTGGGGGAGGAGGGTCCAGGAGACAGCAGGCTTAAGGCGTCCCTAAAAAGCCTCAGTCCTGTCAAGGCAGCTGGCTAGAGGGCTGACACAGGCCTCTCCTCAGGATCCTCTCCTGCCTCTACAGACCTGGTGGCCACAGGAGCCATGTCCAGGCACAAGTCACACGCATCATGTCATTAGAAGATTAATTCTACCAGCTTCTACAGCTTTAAAACCAGGAGGCAAGGCTGGGGCTACCAAGAGCCCCAAGGCAACAGGAAGTGCAGGTTTATGGGCTTCGGAGAGATTTTAAGCCATAAGGGCACCAGCAGGTCAAAGGGCTGTGGACAACTTCCACCCGTGGACTCAGGCACCTGCGAGACTGGCCAGGGCGCCCACTGGTAATCACTTACGCTAACAAGGATTCCCGGGTCACAGCTCCTGTGCTGCGGGAGTCACGTACATTCACGTCTGCCCGCGACCTAGCCACCTCCTTACCTACTGTCATCCCAGTCATAAAAGCAGCAATTGGCATGGGGCTGGGGAATGCGGGAGGGAAGCAGGGTTAGTGCCTCCACCCTGAGCTTCAGGTCTGCAAGACGAAAAGGTCCGCGCAGACGGCGGGGAGCTGCAGGGGACGCAGGCCACAGCACTGCTACGGTGAACAACCACGCTTTTCTCTCTCCACAGCTCCGCACCCGGCACTGGCTTCCTGCTGCTCTGTGACCCTGTGAGGGGACTGGAGGCCCCTCTGGGACAGCCTCCTAAGGGTCTCCTTCACTGCAGCAGCCCTCCTGCCTGTGATGCCAAGGGGTGCTCTCTGAGGGTAGATGCCCTCGTTTTTTTTTTTCCTTCTCAAAGCCCTTAAGGCACACGTGAGCCGGTGACACAGCGGGAGCCCTCCTTTCTGCAAGTCTGAAGTACCACTGTGTAGACCTATCTGCGTTTGTGCCCGGGTTCCAACACTACTAGTGATGCAGAGGACATCCCTTAACTGCAGAGTGCCTCAGTTTCCTTATTTGCAAAATGGAGATCAATCTGTCTCCTGAGGTTGTCAGAGGACCACAGATGAGGGACATCGAAAGCCTGGCCAGAGCAGGCACTCAGTGAGGGTCCACTCTGCCCACTGGGATCCTGCATTTCTGGAGGAACAATGGGAAGCCTGAGGTCCTACTGGGCATGTGCCGCTCTCAGCAGTACCTGAGCCCCGCTCGGCGCCGGGCACCGGAAGGGAAAGGCAGGAAGCCTGCGCTGTCCTGGGGGCGCCCAGCCTGCCAGCCCTTTTCTGGTGGGCCTCTCAGTCCCTAGACCCTGGCTCCCCAAAAGGCCCACTGTCCTGAGGCCCAGAGCTGCCACCTGTTCCAGGGAGGGCCATCTCAGGAGCCATGTGGGCAGCTCCGGAGACAGAGACCCACTGAGCCATCCCTCTGTCCAGCTCCTCTGGCAGCCCCACAGGAAAGGGGGGGGGACTAAAAACCCTGGAAAAGCCCCTGCTGGGCCGCCCCGTCAGCGTTTTCCTGCGACCTCAAGGGATACATCAGCTGTCATCCTGCCAGCAAAACTGAGGAAATATGTAGGCCATAAAATCAAAGAAAAGAGCTTGCATCTAATTAGTATGTTAAAAAAAAAAAAAAAGGAAGCAACCCAAACTGAAAAACAAAATTAAAATCAAAGAGGACAGGCTGACGAGCTGGTTCTCTTTATGAGGCTTTGTTTTTCAGGCCTTCTGATGGAGGGCGGTGCAGGAGGGGGAGGAGAGGAAGGAACCAGAGCGGCTGGAGGGGGCCTGCAGAGCCAGCCCCCTGGACCCCGCGCGGCCCTCCCACGGCGGAGGCACCTGTCCTGAGGGTCTTCGCTTGCTGTGTCCAGGGGCTGCTCTGAGGCAGCCTCGATGCACAGGGTCCAGACCCTATGGCACCAGAGACAGTTCCCCTGGCATGGGTCAGGGTCATGCCAGGGGGAGGGGGCCAAGAACCCTTTGTCACAACCCTCAAGCTGTGGAGAACTCTTCATTGTAATGGTCAGCATCGTGTCGAAGGCCACTTCAGTCCCAGCAATGGCATTCAATTCCCTAGCTTTAAATATCACCTCTCTGTGATGACTTCAAATGCCCCAGAGAGCATCTCTCCTGAGCTCTAATGAGAATGTCTACTGGCTGCTGCCAACAAGGGGACGCAGTCACTACCTGTACCCCAGACCCTATATGCACCCGCCGAACGCATCCCTGCCCAGCAAGCCTCTCCCACAATGCTCCAGCCACACTCCTGACCCCTCTCTGGAGCTCTAACTACAGCCGCCAGTCCTGTCCTGTCCTGCTGAGCCTCTGCTCCTCAGCCGCTGCCGCTACCTTAGCACCACTCACAACTCCAACCCAACACTTATCACCTTATAATTACCAGACTGTGAACGCTGCAAGGACAGGGACTTGCTTGCACGGCTTGGTGTCTCTAGCACTGGATGCAGCACCTGGCACTGAGCAATGCCTGCTGAGAGACTCCTGGAGTGTGTCCTTTATCACACACCCCAGGAGACTGAGCATCCGAGGGCAGGCCCTCTGAAACACAGCACCCAGCCCTGCACCTGGCTAGTCTGGAGGAGGCCCAGGGAACACTGGCCAAATGACATCCACACAATGTTTAAGATATCTGTTGGGTTCCCATTATGGCCCCAGAAGCTGAGGAGACGGGGTGAACCTGGCAGACAGTGTCCCTTCGTCACGGGGCTTACATTGTAATGTAAGAGACAGATCAAGTGAGTAGACTACTTAAATAAAGCCATCACAGGTTGCGATAAGGGCTCAGAAGGAAATAAATGGGGAAGTAGAGACAGGAGCGCTTAGATTCACGCCTGAGTCTGGAGGCAGAACCGAGGGACTGGTTTCAAAGAGAGAAAACTGGACTTGGGGCAGAGGGATATAAGGGTCTGGTGGAGCAGGGCAGTGGGAAGGGAGACAGCGTCCGTGCAGGACCCTCACCCACTTGCCCCATGGAAAACACAGACTCAGCCTCCAGCTGTGCCAGCACTTCAGTGTGCACAGGGGGAATGAGCCAGGGGGGCTGGCTCCTGGCAGCGGGGAGCTCTCATCCACCTCAGCTACACACAGCAGGGTTCGAGGAAGAAAAAGCGTGCCCCCCACAGCACTATTAGGATCCTAGGGATGGAGTGCGGGAGAAGCCGCCACGCAAGACAGGAGAGCCCGGAGTAATGAAAGTTCTAATTGCACACGTGGGCGTTAAAAGTAAATGCCACTTAAAGGCTGTAGTCGCATGTCACCACGGCTACACCCAAGGGAGGCGGCAGCACAACGGCAGCAGAATCTCTGTGGATCCGGCGCCCAGGCGAAGAGAGCACCCTGGGTCCCGACAGGAGCCACAGCAGGGCAGGCTTGCCCAGGGTCCTCTCGGAACAAGAGACCCGAGGCCTCGTGCCCTGTCTACCACGGGCACACAGCCTTGCTGCGTGGCCTGTCTGCAGGGCGATGCTGAGCACACGACTTCCAGCCCCGTGCCTTCAGTCACACTCGTCCATCTTTGTGGAATGTCCTTGTCCCAGACCCACAGACCAGCTCAGTGCCACTTCTCCCAAAAGGCTTCTCACAGGACTTTAGCTACACCTCACTGATGATGAGGATGAGGAGGAGGATCATCACAACGCCTCATGGTGCCACAGGCTAGGGTCTGCTGAGAGCTTGTTACGGCCCATGCAGCCCTCGAGCTCCTCACCCACACCTCAGGCCCACTCTGCCAGGCACAGAGCACCTGGGCTCCTGCCCAGGGCACCCCAGTGAGTAGCAGGGTCAGGATGCAGGCCCAGGAGCAACTTTAAGGCCAATCCTGGAAGCCCAGCTCAGTCCCTCATCTTAGAAATGGGCCAGAACAAGGGCCAGAGAAGGAGACTCTGGTCATCTGGGCCAGCTTGACTCTACAAACCCTGATGCCACCCGTATTGCAGTGTCTCCCACTGACCACCACCCAGGTGTGTCAGTCTGTGCGGCTCAAGTACACACGTGGCCCTGCTTTTGACTGAGGCTTGCTTGCTGGCTGGAGTCCTCTTCAGAGCCACTCCAGCTGGGGCAGGTCTAGCATTTCAGGGAGTCCAAGGGGTGACAGAGGACAGATGGCAACTCAAAGTGACTGAGTGCTCACCTCACATTAGGCAGTACCTTATGCAACATTTGCAAAATGTCTTCTTCTCACAAGGAAAAGTGAGTGAGTGCACTCAGCAAAGGCTGTGAGGCTGCCCTTCCCACTCCACCACGCTGCCCCGAGTCTGCTCCCTGGCCTGCAGGTTTCCAGCCGTTTCTCGACTTACCCTTGCTTTCTTCCATTCCACTACACAGTTAGACACTTAGAGTGCCCGCTTGGCTGCTCCATATGCATTCTTCTTGTAGATGGACACAATACCGTCATTTATTTTTATGTGGTGCTGAGAATTGAACCCAGTGCCTCAAAAGTGCTAGCAAGGGCTCTGCCACTGGCCCCAGCCCCAGCCCTTCGTTTTGCTTTTTAAATATTTCTGAGGGGGGCTGGGGATGTGGCTCAAGCGGTAGCGCACTCGCCTGGCATGCGTGGGGCGCTGGGTTCGATCCTCAGCACCACATAAGAATAAAGATGTTATGTCCACTGAAAACTAAAAAAAATAAATAAAACTATTCTTTAAATAAATAAGTAAATAAATATTTCTGAGCCCTCTGCTTCTTATTTGGTGTGAGTTTACATTCTAGAACTGGAGGGGCAGAGGCAGAGGCACGCAGGGTTAGTCTTCACAGCCTTCTGATGAAGACGACCTGGACACATGGACAAGAAGACCCTCTGATGCTTTCAGTGCCAGACACCAGGGACACGGAAGAGGCTTGGGAAGCGAGTGGAGCGTAACTCCCAGAGCCCAGACACAGGCGCATCAACTCACCCTTGATGATGTGCCTGACAATTTTGATGGAGCTTCCTCGCATGTTTAGTATCTGATGGACCCTCTGGCGGATCTGAAAGGAGGGGGAAGAGCAAGGAGAGAAGGAAAAGGGGGTGTTTGTCCCAGCAACACCAGAGTAGAGCACCTCGATCCCCTCACCCACCCCTGAAAACAAGGGTGCACCCGGAGGGAGGGAACCCCAGGAGAGCACGACCCACTTCTTCCCTCGCAAGTCTCCACCCACCAGGTGCCAGGAAGGAGGGAGGGAGGTCAGGCCACCTGGGAGGGCCCTGCTACCTGGGGGACGTTGGCGTTGCAGATCTCAGCCATGATGTAGCAGATGTGCTGGAGGACGAAGAGCCCCGCATCCAGGCGCCGGAGGTAGAACTCGTCCTCCATGTCGTTGTCTATGATTTCTCCACGCCGCACAATGTCCTAGAAACAAATGGGCATGTGGGCATAAAAGCTGGACGGCGAGTGGATCGGCAGAGTGGGTTTCCACCCGGCCACAGTAACTCCCGCCTCGTCCTGACTCGCCTCTCCCACTGCCCTGAAGGGCCTTTCTTGGCTCCTCACTTAATGGACTGCAGAGGCCCCAGAAGTCAAGTTTAAAGCCATTAAAAAAAATTTGCTTTTTAGACGTTGATGGACCTTTATTTCATTCATATATTTATACGTGGTGCTGGGGACTGAAACCAGGGCCTCACATGCTAAGCAAGTGCTCTACCCCTGAGCTCCAGCGCCCCATTTCTTTTCTATCTGATGAATGAGGGCCACAATGATCTTATCCACATATTAAAACTAAAAAAATAAGCTGAAGGGATATAAATCTAAGCTACGTATTGGTTTCCACTCAGTCTTTTAAAAATTTATTTTATCTTAGAAGATTTTAATTGACACATAACAATTACACATATTTATGAGGTACAGTGTGATATTTCGATACATGTACACAAAGTATAATGACCAAATGAGGGTAATTAGCATTTCTGCCTCCTTTTAAACATGTATCACTTCTTTGTAGTGGGAACCCTGAACTCTATTCTAGTTCTCTATGTAATATGTAATAAACCGTGAACCACAGTCGCCCGCTGTGCTGTGGAACACTGGAGCTCACGCCCATCTAACTATTTTGGTCTGCCCCGCTTCCTCGCCTCTGGTGACCACTATTCTACCCTCTCCTTCTAGGAAACTAACTTCTTGGCCCACTCCTTCTTGATGCTTGGTTTGGGCGGCCATATATAACTTCTCCCTTAACCCTTCCCCTACCCAGTCAGGTTGGCGGTGAAGACAGGCCTCCTTTCTCTATGATTCTGGGTGCCTAGTGAAGCCGAGGTATAGGCAGCCTTTCTGTGCCCATGCATCCTTCGTTCACGCTGTGTCCACTGCCAAGGGTGCAGCGCTGCCACTGCAGCTCACAACCCAACACTCCTCTCTGCCACAGGCCTAGTGCGCGGGTCTCCTTCCCAGTCCTTTGAACCCTGCCCCTCTTCCTCTCCAGTGGATTCTTTTTAAAAACATCTTCATACACTACAGTCCACACACCAGGCGATCCACCGCTCACAGCGTGCTCTCGGTCAGCTGAGTGTGCTCAGAGCTGTGCCATCACCCCTGCAGCCGGCACCCTCGCCCCCACCCAGGAGGTTACAGGCTCTTCTCCTGGGAGAGCTGTTCTCCCCAGCTCAAGCCCCCACCAGCTTCCTGCCACGGACCCTGGGTGTCGCTCAAGCCCACACGACCTTTCAACTGCCTCACCTGAGGCCCTTCCCCAAATCCCTGAGCATCTTGGGTGAGCCACTGCTTGAGGCCTCCGGCTGCCCACCATGGTCACACAAGGAAAATGGAGGTTAAGAGAAGCCCTGGTCTTGGCCACCCAGGAGCAGACCGTCTAGGGAGGTCACAGAGACAGGAAATGACATGAAGTAAAGGGACACACACTCCGACTTCATCACTATCTACTTCCTGCCAACTGTGAGCTGTGGGAAGCCCGCGGGCCTGAATTTGGTTTGTCCCCAGACCAGTAAACTTTCACGTGGCAAATGAGAGAAAAATGTCATCTGTACTTCAGTCTGTGAGCTCTTAGGAGAGCCTCGGTCACATGACTAGTGGACGCTTCTAGTGGACACTTAGGACGGCAGGTGCCTGCCCACACTTCTCATGACAACAACCCATTACTTAATTCCATGGGTATTTTTATGGCCATGGTTCCTTCTGACAGCTCAGCTCCTGTCATTGACAGAGCCCTGGGGACGCTGTTTTCCACTCCCACGAACTGCAAGGGCTCGGCACTGTGGTCATCCATCTCCACAAGAACCCCTCAGGGACCACTGACGCGCGGTAACCCGCTTCTTCATCTGCCTGGGGGCCGCCTGCAGCCGCACAGGCTACTTTTCATCTCCCACTGAAGGCCTGTCTCTGAGGCAGAGGGCCGCAGCCCGCCAGGGCCACTGTGCCCCGCCAGTCGCTGCCACTAACTCTTGGCTCCATTTGGTAGTAGATTCCCTGGTAAGCTGGTGATTACGCTAACGTTCACAAGGTGGTCATGGAGCACTGGCCTGATGGCCGAGGAGTTTAAAGGAAGAGGCGTCGCTCTAGCTTCTCGTGTGCTCAGAATCCTAATTTCCTGCTCCTCCACTCCAAAGTGTTCAGCAACTGGGCCCAGGAAGGAAAATCTCTTCTGACTTTGACCACACGAAAAGCATCTGGGGCTAACACTTCCTATTTCTATATTGCTACAGAGTTTAAAGTGTCATTACACATACGTGTCCTTACTAGCAAACGTAAAGATGGTGGGGAGGTATTATTGATCCCACTGTATGGACCAGAAGCCAGGGCAGAGAGGCAAAAGTGCCCATAATTACTTAATTACCAGTTACCAGAATATGGACTCCCTGGGGACGGGGCTCCCTGATTCATTTCTGAAGGGAAATGAGTTACGGGAGGCAGAGAATTCAGACTCCTGGCCCTACTGAGAGCTTGGCACAAGAACACAATCCAAAGTGCTGAGTTAAAGCAAAAAAGGAAAAGAAAAAAGGAAAATGGAGGTTAGGAGAAGCCCTGGTCTTGGTCACCCAGGAGCAGACTGTCTAGGGAGGTCACAGAGACAGGAAATGACATGAAGTAAAGGGACACACAAGTTACAGCTGTAAGCTGGCAGCGCTGATCAGGCTCAGCTGACAAGTTGGGGCACCCGGTGGGCAGACAGCAGAGCAAATGCCTTAAAGACAAGGTCTCCCAGTGTCCCACTCCCAGGGGACATGCTTCCAGCTGTCCAGGCTTCTTACCCTCTAGCACTCCCCAACCCACACAGCGGGGCCTGCTTCCCTTTCCTGGTCTCTTCACCTTTCCTTGTAAGGTTGGTCCTACCCTCCCCACTCCATGATATACCCACCTCTACAATGTGACACTTCTCACATTCCCCGAGATCCCCAAGCAGATACGACTTTCCAGCTTTAGACACCCACGCCCTGGGAGTGCACCTGTCACGGCACCTCCCGTGGCCCGCTGTGCTGGCCACTCTCATGCGGGCCGCCTTCCTGTAGATCCCGAAGACCAGAGCTGTGGGTGCTGGGGAGCACCTCGCAAAGGACTTTGTGTTTAGTTGGCTCTTGGAGAGCATCAGTCAGAGGGCTGAAAAGAAGGCAGGCACTGCCTCAAGCCATTTAACGAGCTGGGTGTGGCCAGAGCTGAGTGGTCGGGGTAGAAGGGGTAGAAAGACCAGGACGCAGTGAGGGAGGGTGCTGGGAGGGGCGCAGGTGGGATCTGGAGTGCTGACCAGAAGTTAGATGCCAGGGACTGCAGACTGCAGCACCGTGTAGGAAAATGTCTTGAGAATATGTCCACGGTCCTATGATGGACACACGGCTTAGAGCACGGGGAGCTGGTAGAGGGCATGGCTGGGAGGCCACAGCCGCAGCCCCTGTGAGGAGGAGGAGGAAGAGAAGAGACGAGGCCTCTGGAGTTGCAAACACGGGACCCAGAGCGGAACCCATGGACACATCCACCCAATAAGGACTTCCTGAACCGCCGCGTGTGCCATGGCGCTGTGTGATACGCAGGGACAGCAAAGACAAATGAAAGTTCCCACAACCAAGGTGCTTAAGTCTGAGAGGTCAACAAATAGGAATAAATAATTTCTGAAAACAATAATAGCTGCAATTACACAGGACTTCTCAGCGGTACCAGCTGCTGTGGGAACCCTTCAGGAAGACGGGCTCGTCCTGTCGGGGGCAGTCAGGGGAGTTCCAGAAATGCAACCTTGGAGCTGCAGCTGGAAGGCCCTGAGTCTGACAGGGATGGAAAAGGAAGCACAGGAAGCACAGGAAGTCACGGCAGAGAGAAGTCAACTCAGCTGGCCTGGGAAAGCAGGGGACTATCTTATCACTAACACAAACATTAGGAAGGAGCAGGGAGGATCTTTTTTTTTTTTTTTTTTTTGCTTACTTGAGCTGTGCTATCGGCAGATCATGTTAGTTTTGATTGATGACTACCTGGGAGGCACTGTGGGAGGCAGAGTGAATAATAACGGCTGCTACCTTCACCCACCCACCGAAGGGAGCAGCCAGCGTCCCCGAGGACTGCTTCTGCACTGCTTCTGCGTCAGGCGCAGGGCTTATGCATATTCACTCCCGGGCTTCCCACAATCCATCACTGCGAGGTGGGAATTCTTACCCATGATAGCAAAGAACACGTTCAAGCCAAGCTGGGGCAGCAGACCTGGCCCAAACTCTCCCTACACTGCCACGTCTGTGCAGATACTAACTGCGACTTGGCCGGAGAACAAAGGAAGAGGTCAAGGAGAGTAACGGAAGGCTCAGGAGTGGAGTGAGCAACCTCTAGTTTCTCTCCTGAGGTCAGAAGTACCCTGGCAATTCTTCCTTTCTCGCACTTTCCCACCAACCTGACGCTTTAACCTGGCAGGCTGTACTGGGCTCTCTGACTTGTGTCCTCTAGAGAGGCTGGACCCAGGATGCATGAGAGCCATGCCAAGCTCTGTGTTCCCCTCTCTTCCCTTTTCCCTCAGAACTTCCCTGACACCATTCAACTTGACATTCTACTTGAGATGTACAGCCTTATGTTTTGAAAGTGAAATTTTCGAATGTAGATCTGAGATAGGACGATAGCTCATCTCCCAGAAAGACTTCACCACAGCAGCGGGAAGCACGCAAGAAGCAGATCAGCTTCTGAAGACGGAGCTTCTGCCCTGGCAGTTTCAGAGCGCTGGGGAGATGGCACGCAGGGAAGATGAGTGCTGTCAGGACACCACGGCACGGAGTATTTACTACCGGGAGGATGCGAGTTAGCTGAGCACAAATACGCACTCGCTGTTTAAGGGGAAAAAAAGAAGCAGGAGGATTTTGCATCATTCTGAATAGGCAGAATAAGGCAGTGAAAAAGTCTGGGCCCAGTTCTTAAGAGGTACATCTTCTCAAGTT